AGTCTCCCTAGCAAATTTAGCATCTCATAAAAAGCTTGAATACTGCTGCTACATTCAAGCTTTGATAATTTATACAGCTGAGTTATTACTGTGGAATACTTTATTTTCGCTGGAATTAATTTTTGCTGAAAAGAATTTTTTGGTGTTTTGTATGGAATTTATTTTCCCTGATTTTTGACGAGTTGAATGTAAAATATAGGAAAAGAGGTATATTCGCTGGATTTTATATTCACTGAATCATGCCTTCAGCGAAAATTAATTTCAAGTGAAATTAAAGTATTTTACAGTATTAAATTCCTATGAACTAATACATACTTTAATTCAGAATTAGAGATATACCTAAGAAACTGACAAATAAAACACAATACTGTAATTCAAATAAATTCTCAGAAAAGTAATTCAGTTGCACATTGATTAACTAAGAAAAAAGTTGTTTTTATTTGACCAGTTATCAAAAAATGATATGTGCTGCCATTGAGAAACCCATACAGCATCCTTATGAAATTGCGCTCTCTAATGGTATATATAGTGCACAACAACAATAGAGCACCATAGAATGTTTTGTTTTTGACTTAGCTGTCAGGTTTCCTTACTGCTATCATATATGTAACTTACTTCCATATGTCATAGTTACCCACGTTTAAAATTTATCACTTGTTTGTCTCAAGCATTAAATAATTGTTGATTTAGTCAGCAACTTTTGTAGGAAAACTGTGTAAAAATGCAAAAATAGTCATTTTTGGAATAACTGCCAGAGAAATCCATGTTAAAGTATTTTTTTCATAAAAAGTGAATAGTATTCAAGAGATATTTTTAATAATTCTTGACAAGTACCTATTTTATAACTATGTATGATTGTTTTACCATATGTACCCAAATAAATTCTTAATTACATGTATATGTTCAGACATTTTTACGATAGAAACCAATAGTAATTGTCTTAAAAATCACAATTTTTCTGTATGTTTGAACCTGTATTTTGTCAGAAAAGTAGTTTGATGTTACGTTCTTTCTTATCTGAGTTTAACTTTTCATAAATTTTTTTTTTTCAATTTTGGCAAAAAAACAAAAAGGAAAGTGAAGATTTTTTCCCCTCCCAATATTCGGTGCATATATTCTCACATTTTGTGAAATTGATGCTAAATTCCATCATCATTTGGAACCTGATATTTCACATATTGCTTTTAGTTTTTGATCAAAAGGTTTATAAATTTTTATCAACATTTCATTTGGAGAGGAGCAGACTATATACACAGTCATTGGTGCTAAAAGTTGACAATGGCGACTGACATAACTGATGAATGCAATGATGAGAAACATGAATATTTTGGACTAGGCCTAATTAGTGATAGCCTGGAATCCAGCTATTCAGATTGCCTTTTCCTGTGCACTCAAGAATGGTCGGGTGATTGCTATATAAATATGTACATTCTCGAAAATTGACAACACGCAGTTCGATCGAACTGGGGCAGGGAATAGAACGGCAAATGAAAACATGCAACAGAAATAAATGAACAATTTGCAACACTAGAAGTAAAACAAAAATAATGTATTGCTTATAATGTGACAAATAAACCAGAAATAATAAAAATAGACAGTGAGGAATCATTTGAATTCGGATTTTCCCGACAAACACGCGAGAACTCAAAATGAATTAAAATGATTTCCGGTCTCGACAAATTACGCATCAACCGTCATACAAGATCAATAATAATTTACAAAAATACACAG